GGCCTAGGACTTCAAGACCAGCCTGGGCAATAACAGGAAGACCCTGTCTCAAAACAAACCAGCAAAAACTAAAAAGAAACAGCTTAAATTAAGTTGATAATTCTTCTAACCCAAAATATTCCGATATTGTTTCAACATCAAAAATATGTAATATATAAACAAAAACTATAAATATACCATAGAATATATACTATACATAAATATGTAATATATAAATGCAGCTATATAAAATTTAAATTTATAATATATCAACATGAAATAAAAATAACATAGAACTATAAATAAATATATCGGTTTATTAATGAAACAATTTAATTTTTTGTTCCTAAGTCTTCAAAATCCTGTGTGAATTTTACATTGAGAGCACATCTGAATTCATACCAGCCATATCTCAAATTACCTCTGGCTAGTGTCTGCTTTATTGGACTGCATAGTCGGAGATTATGAAGTTAATTTATTTCAGGTTATTCTTCCATAAAAACAAAATTTAAGTTGGTGCCATTCTTTAAAGTAAGATTTGTAAGAGCCTACCAAGTTTTATAACTTGATCCCAATAAAATACAAGGATAACATTTAGACCTATCATTTAATAATGTTCTATGCTGACATTGAAGGGTGTAGTATTCCTTTATAAAAGTTGATTGAAACTTTTGTCTGATTAGGGTGTTCCTTCATTCTTTACCTTTTGAAGTTAAGCTTTTAGAGGAAATGTTGCCGTAAATACAGAATAAAATCTGTATGTGACATTTGATTTGTTATTTGAAAGTTATATAGACCAAACTAAAATCAAGGGTAAATATAATTTATAGTGTAAATTTTTTAAATTACTTTTTTCTTTAGCAGAGGCAACCCATTTGTTCTGTTTCTAGTGTTGTTTTACATTATGTTTTTTTATCTTTCTAGATTTCTTTTAGATTTGTTGCTTGCAATTACCAACCTCTTTGTTAATACTGCATGATTTTTGGTGTAGCACAAAATTCATCATCAATCCTCCTTTGAAAGGAGGGCTTTAAGCAAAAGAAAGGGGAGCAAGCCCTGGACCACACCTCTAATGAGCAGTTTTGAGTTTTGTGGTTTGTTTTTTCCTGGCTATAATATTTTCAAATAATATTAATGCTGAAGATGATGGCATTTTAGAAAGTAGCTTGGCAATTTTATTTTTTATTTTTTGTTTCTATTATAGTTGATATTTTTCTTTCAGAAACGTGTCTTGGAATAGATGAAGAAACAGAGGAAAGTACCAAGTTGTTAACTGGCTGATTAGTGTTTCATTCCCAGCATTTCTCTATGTGAACTTGACCTTTAACTTGATCCTGGAGAAGTCATTTTTGGAACCCCAGTTTTTTCATTATTGAAAGGGAAGATGTTGTGTTTATTATCTGTAAGCTTTCTCTTAGATAAAAATGTCTCTGAGAATAATTTAAATTAATTTTGTTATTTTTGTGACTGGGGGCATCCTAGATGGCAACTAGCCTAGTCTGTTTTACAGATGAGCAAAGTGAAGCCAGATCGCTGAAGTGATGACTATGTATGACATGGTCATGGATTTGCCAGTTTCTATTTATATCAAAGAGCATATTGGGAAACTTTAGGAGTGTGATTTTAATAGTTTTAGGGAGTCATTAAGTTTAATCATTGTTATATTATATATAACACCTGAGTTCTTTTGAAATGCAAATAAAATGGTCATTTGAAAATATTTGGCTGGGCATGGTGGCTCATGCCTGTAATCCTGGCATTGGGAGGCCAAGGTGGGAATATTGCTTGAGCTCAGGGGTTTGAGACTAGCCTTGGCTGGTATTTTACTAAAAATAAAAAAATGAGCTGGGCATATTGGCAAGTGCCTATAGTCCCAGCTACTCAAGAGGCTGAGGTTGGGGGATCACTTGAGACCAGGAGGTCAAGGCTGCAGTGAGCTATAATGACACAATTGCACTCCAGCCTGGGCAACTGAGTAAGACCCTGTCTCAAAAAAAAAAAAAGTTTGTTTTCTTTTTTTAAATAAAAGAAGATATCCTAAGACCTTACTTCATTAGCAGAAAACACCTATTTTAACAGTGACTTGCATCTGTAAGATTTAAATAAAAACTCAGCTTTTAGCTACCTTGAATAAAGTCAGAATAAAACAGAATTCTGACTCACAAAATTAAAATGATTCCATTTCACATTTACTTGTGAATTTATCGAATGTCAAAAATCATTGCAGGAGACACAAAACTGGAAACAGAATCTATTTAAAGTTGTATAGTCACTCAGTCACCCAGGCTGAAGTGCAGTGAGGGGATCATAGCTCACTGCAGCCTTATGTGCAGTTGTGTGGAATGCTCAGGTAATTGTGACCACATCCGAATCTGAAGAGACAAGCTGTGTGGTATTTGAGAGGTAGGAAAAACACCCGAAAAAATCCATCAAAATCATAGTTCTTTAATTAATGCTTAGCTTTTGAAAAGATGGAAGGTTAATTCAACTTCCCATCCTCCATGGGAATCCCCATTTCTCAACCACTTGAGAACAGGATTTGACAAATCCAGATTTTAAGATAATAATTAACATGATTAATTATGCCTGGAGGAATTGTTCCCCCTTTTTTTTTTTTTTTTTTTTTTGCTGCTTCTACTGAAAGTATTTTAATATTTATACTCAAACACACTTCTCTCCATAAGAAATTATAAAAATCATTATTGACGTAAGAGGAGATGACTAGAGACATCTCAGAAAAATGCTGAAAACATACTTTGCCCAAAGAAATGTACAGACATCCAATTATTTTTTACCTTAGTGCCTAAAACCTCTGACAAATCAGTATTTCCTCTGTTCATGAGGCAAGTGTAGAAGCCATGTGGGAGCCCTGGCTCTGAGGATGATTGGCTTTGTGCTCTCAGGCCCTGTTCTTCCCTGGATCACAAGTCCCATTTCAGATGGAAGAGGCTTTATTCAGTTGTTTCTCATCTCTTTCTAGGCTCTACATTATATGACTTCTGTTTGTTCTTAAGTTACACACGAGAGAAATAAACCCAAAGACCTGCGTCACTTCAGATCATTTGAAAAGAAATAGTCAAGTTTAATAAACTGAGTAGGAGGCACACATTTCCACTTCTCTAAAGAAAAGTTCACTATATTTGAGTTTTATAAAATTATTGCTTGATGTGTAAGTTTTAGTGTATGGAAGAATAAAATACTGAAAACTGGCCATATTTCCAGATGAAATTGATCTCTGAAATAACAGGAAAATGGAATGAGGAAGAAGTTATATAAATTAGTATCATGCAACGGAAAGCTAAATCTAAGAGGCATGTCACCAGCTTCCAACATTTGTGATGGATAGTCCAAAAACTAACTCCCTAACAAAGGACAAAAAAGGTGCCCACCAAGTGTGAAATAAACAGCATTGAGTGTCCACCCTCCAATGGCTACTGAGTGTATCTAAATGCCGAAGGTGGCACATGGTGCTTCAGAGACTGGCCCCTCTGTTTACCCTGTCCTATGTCTCATCTTTAAGTTATAATGCACAACTGCTTACAGTTGGTTACACACACCACTGGCAGTTCTGTTGTGGAAGAATTTGTTCATTTCATTCCCTTTGCCTAGAATAACACCACCATGCTTCCAGCCTTTGCCTCACCAGCAACTACTAATTCTTAGAGACTCAGCCCAGAGGCTGTGTAGGAAACCAGCTCTGTGCCTCTGCTCTGTGTCCCTCGAACCCTGACCCTTTCCTCTGCCATGGCATTTTGCCCCATCACAGGCAACATGTAACATGATGGCAGATTCTTTTTTTCAGTTATATGCAAATAGCCACAAAAGTCTGGGGCATATAGTGTTGTGTAATTTACTGTGGTTTGATTTTAAAGAATTACTCTGCATTTCATCAAATATAAGAAAATATTGATCAGGAGATCTTACCATTTATATTCCATGAAGAAAGAAAAGTGACTCCCTGATAGCTGACAAGGTAGTGAAACAGCAATGTTGGAATGTGAACATATTTGTACCGTAGTTTCCATGGTATGTGGTGCTGTGAGGCTGGTGTTTAGGAATGAGTGATTTTACTGTGGGATGTGTCTAATGCACCACTTTGTACCCCCATCATTTGCGAGACTCTGTTCTGTTCTGAAAAGTGTGTTTCTTTTCTTTTGAGACATTGAGGGAGTGGTGGGCATCTTAGTCTGCTACCCAGGCTAGAGTGCAGTGCTATGATCTCAGCTCACTGCAACTTCCGCCTCCCTGGCTCAAAGGATTCTCCCACCTCAGCCTCCCAAATAGCTGCGGCCACAGATGCACACCACCATGCCCAGCTAATTTTTTATATTTTTGGTAGAGACAGGGTCTCAACGTGTTGCCAAGGCTGGTCTCAAAGTTCTGAGCTCAAGCAATCCCCTTCCCTTGGCCTCTCAAAGTGCCAGGATTCCTTCCTGTCATGAGCCACTGCGCCTGGTCTGAAAAAAGCGTGTTTCTTATGGGGAAAGTAATAGCCCTCCACTTCCCAAATAACTGAAGAGCTCTAAGGTAATGATCATTTTTATATAGAAAATAGAAATTATGAATAAATAAGAGGAAAATGATAAATTTGGCATTGGTTCAGATATGCAATTCAAGAGACTCCACCATATGCTTAGTACAGACACAAGAAAAAGGGATTCTGGACTCAGTTTCAGCTGGGACTCCGACCAACAGAAGAGCTACGCACTGAATGGAAGAGAAAATTCTACCACTAAAGTTGTAAAGGTAATTAATTTGCAACATGAGTCTTTGCATAGGTAACTGGATGTGCTTAGGAAACATGATTCAAGAGGAAGCCAGTTCCATATTAAAAAGAAATCGTTGATCTAATAAACTGACGTGAAAGTACACGTTTCCGCTTCTCTGAAGAAAAGTTAACTACATTGAGTTTTACCCGGTTACTGCCTGATGTGTTTTAGCATATGAAAGAAAAGATATTGAAAACTAGTCAAATTTTTTGGGTTGAGAATACCAATATAGTGGAATGACACTGATCTTACCTTTATTCTGAACAAGGATTGGCTCCAGAATTTTAGATTCTTTGCATAATTCAAAAGTAATCAGAAGTTCCATCAGCTAACTCCACTGCCTTAAGAAAGTGCATAGAAAAAGAGTTCTAGGTCAGAACAAGCATCCATTGCAGCTGAAGCCAGCTTATATGAAATGATGAAAATGCCTTCTTAGATTATATTTCCAAGGAGAAGAATCTAGTGTCTGGGTTCAAGGCAGCTAGGGACAAACTGACTCCTCTCTACTCTGTAGCAATGAATCAAACTCTGTACTTACAACCTGGCCTGTTTTAACATTCTGTGTACCTTTGGGTGTTAGGAAAACACTTTATGCGTATCTTATTCATGGCCAGGTTTTCCAGTTTTTCAAAATGGGTTGTTTTGGTTTTTTCTTTGGTCTTTTCTTTTTTGAGACAGGATCTTACTCTGTCACCCAGGCTAGAATGCAGTAGCTCCATCATGGCTTACTGCAGCAGCTTCGTGGCTCACTGCAGCCTTGACCTCCTGGGCTCAATTGATCCTCCCATGTCAGCCTCCTGATTACCTGGGATTACAGGCATGTGCCACCATGCCTAGCTAATTTCTTCTTCTTATTATTTTTTTTTTTTTGTAGAGACAGGGTTTTGCCATGTTCACCCAGGCTGGTCTCAAACTCCTGGGCTCAAGTGATCCACTTGCCTTAGCCTCCCAAAGTGCTGGGATTACAGGCATGAGGCATCACACTCAGCCTAAAATGTTTTGTTTGTTTTATACTTTAGGTTCTGGGGTACACGTGCAGAACTTACAGGTTTGTTACATAGTTACAAACCATGCCATGGTGGTTTGCTGCATCTATCACCCTGTCATCTACATTAAGTATTTCTCCTAATGCTATCCCTCCCCCAGCCTCCCACCCATTGACAGGTCCCAGTGTGTGATGTTCTCCTCCCTGTGCCCATGTGTTCTGATTGTTCACCTCCCACTTATGAGGGAGAACATGCAGTGCTTGGTTTTCTGTTCTTGTGTCAGTTTGCTGAGAATGATGGTTTCCTGATTCATCCATGTCCCTGCAAAGGACATAAACTCATTGTTTTTTATGGCTGCATAGTAATCCATAGTGTATATGTGCCACATTTTCCTTGTCCAGTCTATCATCAATGGACATTTGGGTTGGCTCCAAGTCTTTGCTATTGTGACCAGTGCCACAGCAAACATACATGTGCATGTGTTTGTATAATAGAATGATTTATAATCCTTTAGGTTATATACCCAGTAATGGGATTGCTGGGTCAAATGGTATTTATGGTTCTAGAACCTTGAGGAGTCGCCACACTGTCTTTCACAATGGTTGAACTAATTTACACTCTCACCAACAGTGTAAAAGTGTTCCTATTTCTCCACATCCTCTCCAGCATCTGTTGTTTCCTGACTTTTTAATGCTCACCATTCTAACTAGCATGAGATAGTATCTCCATGTGGTTTTGATTTGCATTTCTCTAATGGCTAGTGATGACTAGCTTTTTTTAGTATGTTTGTTGGCTGCATAAATGTCTTCTTTTGAAAATTGTCTGTTCATATCCTTCACCCATTTTTTGATGGGGTTGTTTGTTTTTTTCTTGTAAATTTGTTTAAGTTCTTTGTAGATTCTGGATATTAGCCCTCTAAAGTGGTTTTTAAATGGCTCTAGCAAGTAATGACAAACTGGATGATTGCTGCAGTCTTTTGCCTGTCTACATGGGGGAATAAAATTGAGGACTCAGCATAGCAAGCATATATAAAGAGGAAAAATGAGCATAGTTATTGCATAGAATCCCAACATACAACCTGAACAAAGTAACCTTCCCCCCGTTCTCTCAATTCTTCCCACAGAGCAAGGTGGTTTCTCAGTTAAATGGATGTGGCTGAGAACAACAGTAGTTTTAATGCCTGGTGTTGGACCATGAGGTGAATATATTGCAACCACTTCAAGGTACAGCCTGGGAAAATCTAAAGGGTTTAGCATCACCTAAGAAGAGGGTGCTGACCTCAGCAGCAGTTCTACCTCTGAGCAGGAAGTTGCCTTTTCTTCCTTTTTATTTCTGCCTTTTTATTTCTTCTTCTTACCAACTCATTCCCACACTCCTAGGGTTGTTATATCAAAATTAGAAACTTGCTTTTCATTGATCTGTTAACTCTTGAGCCTCTGCTTCTTTGAGCAGATGTTAATTATTGGTGCCACTGCTTTGTCTTCTTTGAGGAAACAGTTTAACTGTGAAACATACACATTCATGTGATGAAGTTGTGCTGACTGTGACAATATCATGGTACTCACAGTCCCTAAGCATCTTCATACTTGCTCTTCTTTGCTTATCTCCCAAGGTAAGATGACCACAAGAAGATGTTTAAAATGTCTTTTCGGTGTCATTAAAAGCTGGAGATGTGACACCATTCACTTTGGGCTTGCTTCATAAGTGCCTTGTGGCAGAAGTGGAGAAATAGCTTCTTTTGCAGAATCATGAAGTTTTAGCTAATCATAGACTGTATTCCATTTTACAGAGAAAATATTTTTACAGCAGAACTTACAAATTTGGGGATCATTAAGGGGACATTGTTATATGTCCATCGCAAATGTCAAAGCTCTCCTGATTCTGGAAGTTATATATCTGTCTTTACTGCTAAACTAGCACTGTTCAATATGGTATCTACTAACCCCATTTGGCTCTTGAGTACTTAATATGACTAGTGTGAATTGAGAGTTGCTGAAAGTAATAGTAATATAAGATATACACTATATTTTAGACTTGGTACAGAAATATTAATGTAAAATATATCAGTCATTTTTATACTGATTATATATTGAAATAATAGTTTAGATATATTGGATTAAATAAAATACAGAAACATTAATTTCACTGTTTTTCAATTTTTTAACATGGCTATTAGAACATTTAAACTTACATATGTAGCTCACAGCATATTTCTATTGGACAGACCTGATCTCTACTTGAGGCCAGGAAGAGTGACTGGCACATATTCATTAAATGCTCAGTTCATGTCTGATAAACTAAACTACTGAACTGAAATGAATGCATGACGATTGTAATGGTTTTTTAAAGTAGCAATTTTGATGCTGTGGATTTTGAAAGTAATAGAGCAAAACAAAATAGATTTGTGTCAGGAAATATTAAGATGTTTATTAATCGTCTCTGGTGTGTAGAGTGGAACATTTATAAAAAGGGATGTTAGTTAGCACTGGCTCCAGCTGCCTTCTTTTTTTTTTTTTTTTTTTTGAGACGAAGTTTCACTCTTGTTACCCAGGCTGGAGTGCAATGGCACAATCTCGGCTCACCGCAACCTACGCCTCCTGGGTTCCTGGGTTCAAGCAATTCTCTGCCTCAGCCTCCTGAGTAGCTGGGATTACAGGCACTCGCCACCATGCCCAGCTAATTTTTTGTATTTTTAGTAGAGACGGGGTTTCACCATGTTGACCAGGAGGGTATTGATCTCTTGACCTCACGATCCACCTGCCTCAGCCTCCCAAAGTGCTGGGGTTACAGGCTTAAGCCACCATGCCCGGACTCCAGCTGCCTTCTAATGAGATGTTCAGATGTACCCTGTAGAACTGACCTTATTTTGGCCGTTTATGATTCTTTTGCTCCCATGCCTATAATCCAGTAGTTTGTTCAAGAAAGACTCATTTCCAGAAAGAATTTTCCCTGTGTGCCATTTAGCTGTGGTTCTCAGACTTTAATGTGCTTAAGAATCACTTGCAAAGCCTGTTATAAAACTAGATTCCCAGAGATTCTAGTTCACTGGGAAAGGTATGGGGTCTAGGATTCTGTGTATTAGTACCCCCAGAAGATTTCAGTGCAAATGGCTCGTGAACAATACCTTGAGGAACACTGCCATATGCTATTATAATCTGGGAATAGCCTGGAAATCTAGGTAGAAGGAGCAACTTGCTCAGCAATTTGTGTTATCTATAACTATAAATGACATATATTATAAGAACTTACACTATGAAGGATTTAAATTAATAGGTATTTTAATAAGCAAAAATGTTAAAGTCATAGTAAAGGAAATAATCAAACAGAGTAAAAAACTAATCTACAGAATAGGAGAAAATATTTGCAAACCATATATTGGATAAGGGATCAATATCTGGACTATATAGAGAACTCCTTCAAGTCAGTAACAACAAAATGACCCAATTTAAAAATGGGCTAAAACACCATATGTTCTCACTCATAGGTGGGTATTGAACAACGAGAACACATGGACTTGGAGAGGAGCATCACACACTGGGGACAGTTGGGGGGGTACGGGAGAGACAGTGAGGGGTGGGGACGGTGGGGAGAGATAACATGGGGAGGAATGCCAGATATATTATGCACCTAAAGTAAAATAAATAAATTTAAAAAAAGAAAGAAAAATGATGAAACATTCCATTCCCATGGCTCATCTCAAACTGTCTCCCTTCATGCACATGTATCCCATATTTAACCAATTACTATTCTATAAAATAAATAAATAAAATAAAAATGGGCTAAAGACCTGCATAGACATTTCTCCAAAGAAAATATACAAATGGCCAAAAAATATGAAAAGATGCACAGTATCACTAATCATCAGAGAACTGCAAACCATCCCCTCACAATACTTAGGATGGCTATTATTTTTTAAAATGGAAACAAGCATTGACAAGGATGTAGAGAAAGTGGAACCCTTGCATACTGTCAGTGGGCTTGAAATGGTGCAGCTGCTGTGGAAAACAATATGGTTTCCTCAAAAAATTTAAGTATAGAACCACCATATAATCCTGCAGTCCAAATTCTGTGTATTTATGCAAAAGCACTGAAAACAGGATCTCAGAGAGATACATTAAGTCCTCATATAATGTCATTGATAAGTTGTTGAAAACGGCAACTTTAGGCAAAATTACATAAACCATTGTTTCTCATCAACATTATAATGAAACAGTGTTTTTCAGGAGCTGATGTACATCATTTTGCCTAAAGTTGCAGCTTCCAAGAACCTGTCAGTGACTTTAAGTGAGAACTTAACTGTACACTGTGTTCGTTACAGCATTATTCCAGGTAGCCAAGATGTGAAAGCAACCTAAATGTCCATTGACACACAAATGGATAAAGAAAATGGTGTGTATGTATATGTATAAAACATTGCATAGATACAATACAATATTATTCAGCCTTAGAAAAGAAGGAAGTGCTGTCATATACTATAACATAGATGAACCTTAAATGCATTATGCTAGGTAAAATAAGCCAATCACAAAACACAAATACTGCATGTTTGCATTTTTATGAGGTATCTAAAGTAGTCAAATTCATGGAATGAGAAAGTAGAATAGTGTTTGCTGGGGACTGGAGGAAGGGAAAATGGGGAGTTGTTCAATGGGTGTAGAATTTCAGTCATGCAAGATGAAAAAGTTCTAGAGATCTGTTGTACAACAGTGTGCATATTGTTAGCACTACTATACTGGACACTATTAAATTGTTAAAAGAATGAACATTTGTTTTACAAAAATAGAAAAATTAATAAAAAAGTGCCAACTATCTTGATAGTTCATGGTGAAATTGAACTCAAGAGAAGAGCATGAATTCCATTTCCTTTCAACAACCTCTATTTATGAGAAATTTTGTTGGAAATTTTAAGCTAACTAAAGTAAACGTGTACTTACCGTGAAGCTGTGTGGATGGTGAGAGGACTGGGGGTTGGTAGCCTCTCCATGATGCACTGAGTGGAGGGCAGAGCGTATTCACCCTGAATGTCATTCCCAAACCAGCTTCTCCAGATATTTGGATGCCCTCCGCAAGGAAGAGAGATGCTCATTACAGTATGTTGTCATTTCAGAGGCATCTGACACTCTGAAAATTCTCTTCATCCTCTCTCATCCCCATACCTGAAGCCTGGGATTTCCACACCTTAATTTTGTTCCCTTGAAACATTTTAAATAGCCTAGGAAATCTTTAATCATTTTAGGAGTTCTAGTTGCCAGGACCCTTTCTGAGACCAAAGGAGAATGATTGGATTGATTTTGTGAAGCAGTCTGAGCATTCATATGCTGTGAGCATTCACTCTGGCAAGTTTGTATCTGGCCAGTGACCATTCTTTTGGGTTGTAAACTTTCTGTTCTTTCCAGGGACTGCTAGGCAAGTGGGCTAATTTGGCTGGGCTGGTGGGCCCTGCCCCTGGGGTGGGCTAGCTTCCATGAGTGGAGCAGATGGAGTGAGGGCCGAGACATTAAGTGACTCCAGTATTTACTAACAAGACAAATATACAAGGCTAGGCTGGCAGATACCTATTTTCCTCCTTTGCACCCTTCTTGGTATCATATTCAAGCCTATCAACTCTTTTTTGGTTTCTGGTTGAGGTTTTTAAATTTTGTTCTATTTTTGTTTTTGTTTTGGCAATGTGCTGGTTTGTTTCTTTAAAAATGTTGATTATAAACTATTTCAAATCTATAAAGAGGTATACAGATGCAGTATACTCACCACCTAGCTTAACAAAGAGAACATTATGTGTGCACTTGAAGCCACTGTATATCTCTCTTTTTTTTTTCCTTTTTTAGTTATGTATTGTGTCCAGTTTTTCTTTTTTTTTTTTTTATTGCATTTTAGGTTTTGGGGTACATGTGCAGAGCATGCAATACAGTTGCATAGGTACACACATGGCAGTGTGTTTTGTTTGCTTTCTCCCCTTCACCCACATTTGGCATTTCTCCCCAGGCTATCTCTTCCCATCTCCCCCTCCCACTGGCCCTCCCCTTTTCCCCCCAATAGACCCCAGTGTTTAGTACTCCCCTCTCTGTGTCCATGTGTTCTCATTTTTCATCACCCGCCTATGAATGAGAATATGCGGTGTTTCATTTTCTGTTCTTGTGTCAGTTTGCTGAGAATGATGTTCTCCAGATTCATCCATGTCCCTACAAATGACACGAACTCATCATTTCTGATTGGTGCATAATATTCCATGGTGTATATGTGCCACATTTTCCCAATCCAGTCTATCATCAATGGGCATTTGGGTTGATTCCAGGTCTTTGCTATTGTAAACAGTGCTGTGTATATCTCTCTTGAATCATGTCCCACACCATCTCCTGCAGTTGTCTGCTGTCTGGAACTTAGTGTTCCTCATTGCTAAGCAATTCTTTATACCTTTACCAGATAATATTTTATACCTCAACAACATAGAGCACTGTTTTACATATTTTAAAGCTTTATATAAATGGTATTATATTTAATATACTCTTCTGCAACCTGCTTTTTCATCCAACCTGCCTGTTCACTTTTTAAACTTTACCTGGGATATTTCTCCCAGTCTTACGTAGCTATGCTGTTGTCATCACCCGTGTGTAGCATTACTGTGTAATAGTGCTGGACCCTAAAACACAGCTAGAAACGGCTTAGATTGAAGCATTTTATGTGTGTCAAATTAATATGTAACTATAGTATAGTGTGTAACTGTTAAACATATTTGTTTTATTTCAGGTTATAATATAACTTATCTTCTCATGCTTTTTTCCTGCCCCTTCTCCCCAAATAATCAGCAGTAGAAAAAGAAGAAGAAAACATGTCAGGACACAAATGGTAAGTAATTTTTCATCTTTACTAAATTGGGAAAGGCTAATGAAAGTAGAAAGCATATCACATATGCTCAATAAATGTTTATTGAATGGAAAAACAAGTGATACACTAGCAGTAAGTATCACGTTAGCCCTCACCAATGCTGAGTCAAATTCAATATCCCTGTTAAATATGGTGTGGAAACCAAGTAAGAAAAAAGATTGTAAATTCTTATCTAATGTGCATTCTCTAAGAAATTCACATATGTCTGACTTTTCTCTTGGGAATCTAATGATCGTTTTTCTTACCACCATTTTGTCTAATATAATGATTTGATGCATTTTTATTAGTGTCTTATTTATAATTTCTAACCTTAGAGTTACAAGGGAATTTTATGTTAGGGCAGCTATAAAATAAAGAATGACTCTACAACCACACATTACTCACACTTACTCTATAGTCATGACTTCAACCATCCTGGACATTCAGGAGCCAATCATTGTCGAAAGTAAATGATGCTGAATAAAGTAGATGTGATAACCAAAGGGCAATGTTACCACGGACATTTATGCACCTCTAACATATCTAAGCAGCATCTTAAACCTCTTGTAAAGTCCAGCATCTTAAACCTCTTGTAAGGTCCAGAGCTCTTCAAGCACTGTTTCCGAATTCTTTTGAACCCATGACCCACCAATCAAGTAGATCTTTGTGAACTTTTATTTTCCTTAACTTGTATCATGAAAAAAAAGTGTTACATATTTTTTTAATGCACAGTGAATTACAATAAATACACCTTTTTTTTTTTTTTGAGACAAAGTATCGCTGTGTCACCCAGGCTGGAGTGCAATGGTGTGATCTCGACTCACTGCAACCTCCTCCTCTCAGGTTCAAGCAAGTCTCCTGCCTCAGTCTCCCAAGTAGCTGGTATTACAGGTGTGCACTTCCATGCCTGGCTAATTTTTGTTTGTTTGTTTGTTTTTGGTAGAAACTGTTTCACCATGTCGGCCAGGCTAGTCTCAAACTCCTGACCTCAAGTGATCCACCCACCTTGGCCTCCCAAAGTGCTGGGATTACGGACATGAGCTACTATGCCTGGCCAGAAATACACTTTTTAACCCCTCACCTCTCTGTAGAGAAGCAACATACCCAAATCCTCTGTGATATCAAATGTCAGACTTCAAAAGAATTTTTATATGTCTTAAATGTAATGGCTTTTTTTAAGTAATTAATAAATGGCTAAAGGACCTAATTTCCCTGAGTAAAAGAGAAAAAAAAGTCCCTATAATCTCCAGCTGACACTTCTCTAAGAGTTGTCAGACATTTTACACTTTTTTAGTTGTTTCAACTTGACCCATTATGACAAAGGTTGGCTCCATCTTGGGACCCTCTTTGGTTGTGATATCCTGGCAGCAGGCTCAAAGAAGTATTAATAGTTACTCACCTAAGAGAGACTGGACAGCCCCAAGAAGTGGGTCCTTTACCAAATCCCTCCTCCCACTTACTCCACATCTTGCTGCTGAAATGCAGGGGCTACAGAGTACGTTGAAATGAACACTGGACTGCGATGTAGAGGTTTGGATTTCACTCTTGTGTGACTTTGGCCAAGATTCTTAACCTTTTGAAATATAAGATTCCTCATTTGTTAAATGATAGTGGATAAGGGGTGTTCACTAAATTTCTGAACTCCCTTTTATTTTCCAAACAGAATTTTTCCCCCCTGTTAATCCATGATCTTTGACAAAAAAGAAAAAAAGAATACAAAGAAGTCCATTCCATGTCCCATTCTTGAGAATCCCATTCCCCCAAAATAACCAGTCTTTGGAGTATATTCTTCCAGGCTTTTAATGTGCATATTCTATAGAGAGATTATCTTTTATATAAGTGTTATATGTATTTCATCTTATTTTCCCTACTATGAGCTCATAATATGACTTTTAAATAATGCAGAAAGATACAAAGTAGACCATGAAAGTCTCCCATAATCCTACTTCTCTCTCCAAAGATAACCATTTGTAAGGATCAGAAATGCCTTCTGACTTTTTAAGAATAAATGTGAAAATTGAAAATTGTAAATTTAATTAAATTGTAAATGAAGGAAAGTATAAATCATCAGGTTTTGAGATACTGGTATTTTGATATAGTCATATAAACCAACTCATGTTTCAGTACAAGCCTGGTACATTTTGGGTAGTAATGAGAAGGGACAGAAGAAGGTACATCTCCACAGAGGAGAGTTGCCTGAGGGTCCAGGGAGGCCTTTGGGGCAGGAACTCTAGGTCGAAGAGGATGTGGACGAAGCAAGGGGAGGGATGAAACTCCATCAGCAAACTTTCTGCCATATTTGAGGTACTCAAATCACTTTTACACAATTCCATTTCATTTTTTAATTACTTTGATTTCTTTTCTTTTTTTTTTTTTCAGAGACAGGGTCTCACCTGTTTCCTAGTCTTAAGTGCAGTGGTATGATTATGGCTTCCTGAAGCCTCAAACTCCTGGGCTTGAACAATCCACCCACTTCAGTCTCCTGAATAGCTTTGTATCATAGGCATATGCCACTACACCTGGCTAAATTTTTGTAGAGATGGGGTCTTACTATGTTGCCCAGGCTGGTCTCAAACTCCTGGCCTCAAGCAATCCTCCAGCCTGGGCCTCCCAAAATGCTAGAATTAAAGGCAGGAGCCACCACACCAGGCCAGTTTCTAATTTCTTCTCCATGTACTTTTTGATTTGGTCTTCAATATAAACCTCCTGAAAAATGGCTTTCCATCTAAATTTTAAGCATTTATATTAAAGAGTTTAAAGCTTTTTGGGTTTTGTTTGTTTTTTGTTTTTGAGACAGAGTCTTGCTCTGTCACCAGCCTGGCGTGTAGTGATCTCAGTTCACTGCAACCTCCGCCTCCTGGGTTCAAGTGATTGTCCTGCCTCAGCTGGGACTACAGGTGCATACCACCATGCCTGGCTAATTTTTTATATCTTTAGTAGAGAATGGGGTTTCATCGTGCTAGTCAGGATGGATTCGATCTCCTGACTATTTACTGATCCATCAGCCTCAGCCTCCCAAAGTGCTGGGATTACAGACATGAGCCACTGTGCCTGGCTAAAGTTTTTAATATCAGAATCCTACAACCAGTTTTAAATTTATTTTATTTTTATTGTATTGTGGTAAGAACAGTTACCACGAAGTCAACCCTCTTAAATTTTAGGTGCATAATATAATATTGTTAATAATAGTCACCATGGGGCTGGGTGTGGTGACTCACACCTGTAATCCCAGCACTTTGGGAGGCTGAGGTGGGAGGATCATCTGAGTTCAGGAGTTCAAGACCAGCCTGGCCAAAATGGTGAAACCCCATCTCTACTAAAAAAAAATACAAAAATTAGCTGGATATGGTGGCACATGCCTGTAATCCCAACTACTCAGGAGGCTGAGGCAGGATAATTGCTTGAAACTGGGAGGTAGAGCTTGCAGTGAGCCCAGATCATGTCATTGCATGCCAGCCTGGGCAACAAGAATGAAACTCTGTCTCAAAAAATAAAAACCCAACAACAGTAGGTACCAAGTCGCACAGCAGATCTCTAGAGCTTATTCATCTTGCATAACTGAAACTTTGTGCTCCTTAGAGAGCAGTTTCTCATTTCCTCCTACCTTCCAGCCACTGGTAACCGCCATTCTACCCTCTTGCCTCTGAGTCTATTTTCAAATCCTCTGTAACAGATCTTAAGTGTGATGTTCTTCACCCTCTTATCTCTGCTTTTTTGCCATCACCTAGGTGTTGGCTGTAGTATTAGAGTGGAGAGAGTGTGTTGGTGTCTGGCTTTATCTGTGATTCACTGAGGTGACTTGGGCCACTCACCCTGTCTGGCCTGACTGCACCTTCTCCACCTCTAAAAGGGGTGTGCCTAATCTGTTGATATCTACATTCTTTTCAAGGGTTAGTTTCTTTATTTCCCGCAAAAGATTCTAAATTTCTCCACTCTGACTTTTAAGGTTTTGGAGTCAGAAAGAGTTGATTAACTTTTTTGGTGTAATACCCATAGAAGGAAATGTTCGTATGTTTATCAAGGTTGTAAATGTATATGCATCATGGAAAGTCATGTTGAGATAAATCATTTCACACTAAAATATCTTAATCTTTATGAAAGTTGTGAATAAAACAGCTCTTGAAATGTTTTTAGCAGTTATCCCTGGGACTTACAGGATCGATATCCTCAAGATAAATCAGTTGTAAATAAGATGCAACAGAAGTATTGGGAAACAAAGCAGGCCTTTATTAAAGCCACAGGGAAGAAGGAAGATGAACATGTTGTTGCCTCTGATGCAGACTTGGATGCCAAGCTAGAGGTGAGCTCTTTATTGCTGTCAGCCCCAACATGGCCACCTTGCTAGGATCACAGTCCTAGAGTGTACTCACCGAAACAGAGCTAGGTGTGCTTTATGTTTGAAAATGAGGGGCCAGGCGCTGTGGCTCACACCTGTAATCCCAGCACTTTGGGAGGCCGAGATGGGTACATCACGAAGTCAAGAGTTTGAGACCATCCTGGCCAACATGGTGAAACCCTGTCTCTACTAAAAACACAAAAACTAGTTGGGTGTGATGGCATGCACCTGTAGTCCCAGCTACTCAGGAGGCTGAGGCAGGAGAATCACTTGAACCCAAGAGGCAGAGGTTGCAGTGAGCCAATATTGCACCACTGCACTCCAGCCTGGTGACAGAGTAAGACTCCATCTCAAAAAAAAAGAAAAAAGAAAATGAGGAAAATCTAGGATTAGGTAAACTCAATCCCAGCATATTTATTAAAAACTACAAATTCTCACATAACCACCATGCCTCAGTTACTTTGTATTTCAAGAACATAGTTGGAATGCATCACCTGCAGTAAATTCTCAATAAATTTTTTTTGGAAAATTAACACAATCAAAGAACTTTTGCTAGTGATATCTGAGAAGTCAGATTTAGAACACTAGAATCTGGCAAATGTTAAATTTTTTAAAAAAAAGAACTTAAGTAAAATGTGGTGGAAAGTAGAATATAATACGTTTTGTATTGGACACTGGAAAATTCTAGAATGCATTAACTCAGGAGCTATTAGTTATACTAGTTAAAAATACAGCAAGCTGCTAGATTTAGATATGGTTGATCTGGTATGTTAATATAAGAAGGCCCACTAACTCCCTGTCTTGCTGGACATTTCTGCCAATGATTAAAATTTTGGAAGCATACCTGTCACTTCTATAAATAACAGGGCACTGAGAGGAATAATATCTTAGATGGTCTGATAAGGATTCAAAATGAACTCAAAGTTTAATATGTACACTAAGGTGGATGAACTGAACATTTAATGGGACTAAAAAAAACCCAAGATTTCAAAAAGCTTTCCAAGAGTGGCCAGGATGGTAGAAACCATAATTATTCTACATCAGAGAGGGTTAAAGGGAAATGTTAGTTGTCAATTACTTGGGAAGCTCTGTCACATGAAAAGGGATAAGATTCGTTCTAAGCATATGAGGGTAGACCAGACCCAGGAAGAGCTTTGTAATGTTAAGGCTGTCCCATAAGAACTGGGCTGCCTTTGAGGTTAGGACTATCCTGTGAGATGAATCTGGGCTACTATTCAACCTACTGTCTGCTGTAACTTTAGGAGAACTATACCCAGTTTCTCATATCCTCGTTTTCTTAATGCATGGAATAGAGATATTAATACCTACTTATTACAGCTATTATCAAGATTAAATTAGGTAACAGAGTGATGGCTAATGTTTATTAGTGTTTATAAACATTATACTGTACATGTTTATAAACATAACTAATGTTTATTCATAATGTTTAATGTTTATGAATGTGTTTTATGTCCCAGAAACCATTCAGAATGCTTTCCATATGGTATCTCTAGTAAATAGCAAAGCTCCTGACCCACTGGCCCTACCTCCTCATCCTGCATTTCCTCTCTCTCACATGCTTACACTTCCCTCACCCTTGTCCAGCCATGATGGCCTTGTCTCAGTTCTCAGTCCACAACCAGCCAAGTTCACATCTATCAGAGCCTTTGCTGGCTTCCACCTGGACACTGTTTCCCCACATCTTCTCTTCTCATAGTTCAGGTTTCACCCTAAAGGTCATGCTGTTTCAGGTCACTGCCTGTTCACCCCTGCTCCCCACCCACCCCACCCCTGCTCACTGTCTAACACGTGACCTTGTTTTATTTTATTCATAGTACTCATCTCTCATTGAATTATCTCAGGTGTTCATCTTTTTGCCCACCTCGCCTCCACTGTGAGATCAAATTCCATGTTAGCCTAGTCACCGCATATCCCCAGCCACACACAGAATACATATTCAATAAATACTAAAGGGTATGCGTTAGTCCAGTTAATGTCTGTTCTCAGCTCTTTCCTTCTGCAGTTGAAAATTTTTGAAGCTGGGTTTGACAAGAATGTTCTAATGGAGATTTCTCCAATGGCAAAAGTAGAACCAGGAAGCATCTGTTTTCATTTTTATGTCCTAAGTACAGTGTAAATTATTATAAGTTATATATGCTTATTATAGCTCATAGTTTTTTTCTTAAGAACCTAGTAAATACATGCATTATTCAAAAGATGATTTAATGTGTTAATTACAAATATACTAAACATTATATGTAGGCTCTTGCAGCAGTATTTTGGCTGAACCAAGTGTTCTTGTTCTTTTTTTTTTTTTTTGAGATGAAGTCTTGCTGTGTCGCCCAGGCTGGAGTGCAGTGGCATGATCTCGGCTCACTGCAACCTCCACCTCCCAGGTTCAAGTGATTCTCCTGCCTCAGCCTCTTAAATAGCTGGCTTTATAGGCATGTGCCACCAGACCTGCCTAACTTTTGTATTTTTAGTAGAGATGGAGTTTCACCAAGTTGGTCAGGCATGTCTCAAACTCCTGACTTTGTGATCCACCTGCCTTGGCCTCCCAAAGTGCTGGGATTACAGGCATGAACCACCGTGCCCAGCCGAACCAAGTATACTTTAATCAAAATAGCTGCTGTCCTAGGTATGTAGCATCCAGAGCACTTAGCTGTGACAAATAATTTAGTACATGATAGAGGTTTCTGTTGCAGAAATATTAATACTGATGTTGATGTTTGTAGCAAGGATGGATTCCATTCATGAAACATATGAAAATGATGTGCAAACCTCTTTGATGTGTTCATACCTTGAGTTGTCCATAGAAGGCTAACTTATAAACCAAGAAGTTTTATTCTTTGGGCACAGAAAACTTGTGTGCCAAGCTATAATAATGGTCAGATTCCGTTGCAATCTATTGGAAAGTGGATATAGAAATGTTGCTCTGAGTTTTAATATTTGTCCACGTTGCTTGCTAAGGAAATCCTTTTCTCAAAAGCAGCTCTTTAGTACAATAACAGAAAAAAAGTAATCTCTGCTGACAGAAGTCTTCCTGCCAGAGTCACCCTGCCATGGCTGAGTGGACAGACTAGATGATGGAAACGTTTCATACCTTGCCTTGGGCATGATTACGTTAATATATATAATTGTCATAACTCACAAAACTGAACACTCCAGAGCTGTCCATTTTATTGCATTTAATTTACACTTCAATTATTAAAAAGTGAACAGTAACAACAGGAAAACTTCTAAACATACTTTTTGAACATCCTTGCCCCTTTATTCAGGAAATACTATGTGTTAGTGAGTTTTTATGCAGAATACTTCTAAAAAACAAAAGGGTCAGATTCAGACCACTGATTTTCTGTTTTGTTTTATGGTTCCGAAGGGCTTTATTTCTTTTCTTTTTTTATATTTTATTGCAAGTTAGGTTCTGGGGTACATGTACAGAACATGCAGAATTGTTGCATACGTACATACGTGGCAATGTGGTTTGCTGCCTCTGTCCCCATCACATATATATGGCATTTCTCCCCATGTTGTCCTTCCCAAACTCCCCACCCCCCACTATCCCTCCCCTAGTAGTCCCCCCCCACCAACAGACCCCAGTGTGTGATGCTCCCCTCCCTGTGTCCATGTGTTCTTGTTGTTCAACACCTGCCTATGAGTGAGAACATACAGTGTTGGATATTCTGTTCTTGCGTAAGTTTGCTGAGAATGATAGTTTCCAGCCATGTCCCTACAAAAGACATGAACTCTTCGTTTTTTATGGCTGCATAGTATTCCATGATGTATATGTGCCACATTTTCCTTGTCCAGTCTATCATTGATGGGCATTTGGGTTGGTTCCAGGTCTTTGCTATTGTAAACAGTGCCGCAATGAACATACGTGTGCATGTGTCTTTAAAATAGAACAATTTATAATCCTTTGGATATATACCCAGTAATGGGATTGCTGAGTCAAATGGAATTTCTATTTCTAGGTCCTTGAGGAATCACCACACTCTGTTCCAAATGGTTGAACTAATTTACACTCCCACCAACAGTGTAAAACTGTTCCTATTTCTCCATATCCTCTCCAGCATCTGTTATCTCCAGACTTCTTAATCATTGACATTCTAACTGGCGTGAAGTGGTATCTCAGTGTGGTTTTGAATTGCATTTCTCTAATGACAAGTGATGACAAGCATTTTTTCTTATGTTTTCTGGCTTCATATATGTCTTCTTTAGAAAAGTGTGTGTTGATATCCTTTGCCCACTTTTGAATGGGTTTGTTTCTTGTAAATCTGTTTTAGTTCTTTGTAGATTTTGGATATAAATCCTTTATCAGATGGGTAGATTGCAAAAATGTTTGCTCATTCTGTTGGTTGCCAGTTCACTCTAATGACTGTTTCTTTTGCTGTGCAGAAGCTCTGGAGTTTAGCTAGATCCCATTTGTCTATTCTGGCTTTTGTTGCCAATGCTTTTGGTGTTTTAGTCATGAAGTCCTTGCCTATTCCTATATCCTGGATGGTTTTACCTAGGTTTTCTTCTAGGGATTTTGTGGTGTTAGGTCTTATGTTTAAGTCTTTAATCCATCCAGAGTTAATTTTAGTGTAAGGTGTCAGGAAGGAGTCCAGTTGCTGCTTTCTGCACATGGTAGCCAGTTTTCCCAACACCATTTATTAAACCGGGAATCCTTTCCCCATTGCTCGTTTTTGTTAGGTTTGTCAAAGATCAGATGGTTGTAGATGGGTGGCGCTGCCTCCAAGGCCTCTGTTCTGTTCCATTGGTCTGTATCTCTGTTTTGGTACCAGTACCATGCTGTTTTGATTACTGTAGCCTTGTAGTATAGTTTGAAGTCAGGTAGTGTGATGCCTCCATCTTTGTTCTTTTTTGCTTAGAATTGACTTGGCTATTCTAAGCATTGAATCTCTAGATTACTTAGGGCAGTATGACCATTTTTACAATATTGATTATTCCTAATCATGATC